CCATTAATTAAGATATTCCTCTTTGGGACTGGAGTTCACTAATGCTCTAAAGCAGGAACGTAGTACAAACACCATACCATTAACTAAGATATTCCTCTTTGGGACTGGAGTTCACTAATACTCTAAAGCAGGAACGTAGTACAAACACCATACCATTAACTAAGATATTCCTCTTTGGGACTGGAGTTCACTAATACTCTAAAGCAGGAACATAGTACAAACACCATACCATTAATTAAGATATTCCTCTTTGGGACTGGAGTTCACTAATACTCTAAAGCAGGAACGTAGTACAAACACCATACCACTGAGGACCAGAACTGGAGTTCAAATTAATAGGTTTATACCAGAAAGTTTAGAGAGCTTATGGTGATTAATCAGCCTTGTCATTAACCTTCTATCCCCTTGTCTTGTACCAGACTCTCATTGCTTGTAATTTTTTTTCTCTCTCTCTCTCTCTCTCTCTCTCTGGCTCTGGGGAGGGGGAAAGAGGGATGACTGTAGGGCTATTTGCTGGCCTGTTGTCATGGAAACTGGGCCTTGCCTTCAGGAGTTACAGCCAGCTCCCTTTGAAAGATGTAATGGCCTTGTGTCTGGGCAGAGTGCACAGCATGACGTGCTGAGCTGATAGTGTCTGAGGTTTACCTTCCCACTGAATACACCTTCAGTGTGTTACTAATGTATGTGTTTTCCCAAAGCAAATGCAGAGCAAGTTGAACTTGAGAAACACATAAGGATGTAGTGTAAAATAATCATTTTATTATCAGTTTTATTGCACACGTGTGTAACAAAGCGCAGTCGGAACCTACCTGACATCATCCAACTGCACCGCACCCACACCGGCCCGTGCCAGCCCGATCCGTGCGCGTTCAACTTTTCAGACTTAAACTTTTCTAGTTTTGTCGGCGGGACTAAAAAGCCTAGCAAAGGCGTGTGAAAGCGCCGGTTTGGCGGAGCTCCGTGCGCCTTTCCCCCCGACTTTGCCGACTCTGGGTGGTGCTGAAGGGACAGCGCCCAATGGCGCTCCGTGTCCGCGGCATGATCACGCAAGACGCGAGCCTGCTGCGCCGCCTCCACCCACAATACAGCCCGATCTCATCGCTGAAACGAGGGCTGTTTCGCATGAGCCACTCGGGATAATCCGCTATTTGAACAATAGAGGAAACAACGAGAGATCGGGGTGGATGTGCATTAGTAGTGCGCACTAGAAGCACCGACACCGCCTCACCTCCGCCCGTTTCTCTTTATCATTCTCTCACTTCTTTCCCACCTCCCTCTTCCTGTGCTTGGCGTGGAGCTGCTCTGTATGACAGTCTGCCTTTGATTCGCGCATTTAACGCAAAATTGTGAGTCTGCATGCGTCTCTTTTCCGGATCTGATTCCTCATTTCGTCCTTAATTAACTCGTTGTTTGCGACAGATTAACGTATATTCGGCGACATCGCTGTAATGCACCTGCCTAGCATTGGTATTAGATGTAAGAAGTTACAGAAGGTCTGTGTCATGCTGTCAGCGGTGCATCATATATACTGTTAAGATTAATTTCGTACAACCTAACTAAAAAACAGGACGTCGGATTTTCGTTAATAGTGAAATCTCTTCCGTGATCTCTGTCGTTTGCTTGTCTTTTCAGCATTAAATACCGGACTCGTATGTGTTGCACCGCCACCAAACGCCCAGTCACAATTTAATTGAACAGAGCAGCAGCCGGAGCCGCATCCCCAGCAGAGCCATGTCCGCCTCGGAAGACGTGCCCGCCTTCTTTAGGAGCATGGGCTCCGGCAGCCCCAAGCCCCGGCACAAATTCTGCGGAGTGTTCTGCCCGGTGGAGGGCGCGACCGACAGCAAGACGCTGGACCTCAGCTCCGTGTCGCCGTGCAGAGGGGATGGCCGTGTCATCGACAAGCAGGGGGACGTCGGGAGGAAGGTGGAGATCCGGACAAGCGCCGGCAAAGAGGCTCTACAGAACCTCGGTGACACGGTAGGAACAGGCGGCGGGTTTGTGCGGAGTCACGCCTCGGTCTCTCATCCCTCCCTGCTGGGCAGTGAGTCCGGATTTACAATGTACGCGTAAAAGTAAGAAAAAACATAATATGTTTTCTGTTCACAAAAAAAACATAGACATTTAATATAGAGAATCATAAGATTAAGCTGCACTTTATTGATCACAGAGGGAAGTTTTATATATAGCCAATTTAGCATCACCTGGCATCTTGTTTTCCTCACTCCTTGGGAAGTACTGTAAAGCTGACCATCTTATTGGTGTGGGGTTTGTACTACATTCCTGCTTTAGAGTATTAATGAACTCCTTGGTCTTTGGTCGCTTTTCATTATACTCAGTATTACTTTCTATACTCAGAATACTCAGATGGAACTACTGATTCGGACTACAGTTTCCCCCACGGGGATCTTTGATTTGCCGGCTCCCAGCATCAAACGGGGGCTCAGTGTACACACCAACACGCAAAATGGTCCCAGTGTGTGTCGCTCTTGTGACAGAAAGGGGCACTTTTTCATTGTCCTGGGGAGTGTTCTAGTCTGTACAGGGCCTGTGTCACACAGACAGGCGCCTGTCCCCTTACACAAGGCTGACAAGCTCTGGTCCCCAATGCAAGAGTTTTGGAGAGTTATGGAGAGTTTTAGCAAATCCATAATTGGAAATAGTTGACTTTCCTGAACAAACAAAATAAAGAATTGTTATGTTTTTGACCAGCACATTCTATGATTTCTGAGTCCTGTGGTTTTACACACTCATCCTGTCACCTCATTTCTGGGCTGCAGCACTAGGTGTGACATTAACACAGGTGGGGTGTCCCTGTCCTCTGAGGGGACCCTTATTCCGCTCGCTCTCTGTGGCCGGTGAGGCTCTCCGGTGACGATCTACCCTCATTGCCCCACTGAAATTAGGCAACATCCAAGCTTCAACTCCCGGCTCCTAACCCTCAGCCCTGAAGAGGGGGGTGTCTCCCCAATCACCCCTAAAAACGACAACAGATCCAGCCATCCAGTGCTTATTGGGGGGCTAGCCTCAATTTGTCAGGAGAGGCTAATTATTGCAGCACCCCCTCTCCCATTAAAGTGTCCACCAATAGGAGTTTTTGTCTACGTGAAATCAGGGTGAGTAACGTCTATGTGCTGGGTACGTCGTGGAAGCTGCACCCCTGGTCAGATCTTCGGCTCAGTGACTCCAGAGGAACCACGTGAGAGCGACTGTGTGTCAGGGAAGCCTCCTGCTGACCGCCAGTCCGAAATGGGCGTGTCCCTCTTTGTGACAGCATGACAGGGTGTTCGACATGCTGATCAAGCTGACAACAGCCAGAGAAACGTAAGACTCGACATTCAAAGGAGGTTCCTCACTTTCACACAAACATGACAGCTTCTAAAGGTAAACCCCCAGTCCTTTAAAAGAGTAACTCGTATGAACCATCCTGGGGGAAGTCTGATTGGTGGTTCCCCGGACACACAGCAATTCACTGGCGCCCCCTGCTGGACGCTTAGTGGCTGGGCGGTGAGCTGAGTCACTCTTCGGCTGGCAGCTCTGGCTCAGCTCCTCCTGCCTTTTGGAACTGAATCTGATTGAGATTCATTCCTTTCTGTGTCTCTCTATTTCTTAGGCACACACACTAACCATCCTTCAATGCACTGCTAGCACTCTCAGGAGGCTGCCTTTGTGATGATGGTTATGACCTCCCTGTGACCCCAATGAAGCTCCGCCCCATTCTTTTCATTGGCTGGTCACTTGGTGGCTTACTTTGCTGAACTGTTCCCCTTTGAACACCAGCCCTGTCATCCTTCCAGGAAATTAACTGAGAGATACAGAAAAGCTAGTGGAACCTCTTAGTGCTCCACAGGTGCTGTAACATGCTGTGAACAGCAGGTGGCATGGTGGTTGTGTGTCCACGGGGCTTCCTGTGTAGCTGGGGTGATATGCAGCTGCGTGGGAGGGGACGCTCTGTCAGTAACCAGGCTACTCTGTTAATAGGACCAAGGAGCTCAGGGACCAGACTGAGGGTCTTCATGGACCAAAAAAGTTCTACTAGACAGGCTAAGGCAAGCCAGCTGTGATTATCTGTTTTATTTATTTGGCAAGTTAATTTCCTCTGTCCAATTTATGCCACAATCCAATGAATACTAACTGATACAACTAGTTAGAAGGTCTGGGATTAGAAATTGCATCCAACTCATTAAATAAAGTCCCTAAAGAACATGCCAGACTGGTCACCATCTTATGCAGGGGCGTTTGTGTGTGATGACACTGGGGCTCTACTTTCAGGGGTCTAACCAATTGTTCCCTAGCTGTAGGTAAATGTACCTTTCAGTCTAATTGAAGGTATGGAAATGGACTCTGATGAACATGTTTGTATCACTGGGGATACATTAATGTTATTTGTACCTTGAAGAAGAAAAGCGTACCAGGGCTGTACTCTTCTTTCATTGCTTTGTGGATGTGCTTCTCTTGCATTTTCTCAGCTGGCTGTCTCTAGGTGGGCAGAGTTGGGCGAGTGGGAATGTCTGTGAAGATTTCACATTCAGGCTGTATGTCAAAGATCAATATTGATCAGCATTTAGTGGTGCTGTGTTCCGGTGTCAGAGCTACAGGCAGGCTCCTGTTCCAACTGTCAGCTACTTTGGATAAAAACAAAAAATGAGCAGTAAATCATTATTTTACATCCACAAAATCTACTACCCAGCATAAAGCCCCGCCCACATTAAGCTCCACCCAGTATGAAGCCACACCCATTTTTAAAGCCCTGGCATGCATGCATCTCCATGTTGCCACATTGCTGCCAGTGGGATTTCTCCATGCACTTCACAAATTGATCACTAACAGCCCAGAGCTCCCTGCAGTGGAGGCACCAAGCCCCCTTTCTTTTTTTGGGAGGGGGGGCACCTTGGTTACTAATTGCTACATACAGGGACTAAAGAGGAAATGCCATAAAGTGACTCATTGCTACATCTGTGAATAGTTATTAAAGAAAGAAGAAATAGTGGAAAAAACAAGACAGATATGTTACTCAGCACAGATAGACGCTCTTACAGCAGAGCGACATCATAGGCAGCGGTGTGGGTAACAGCCTTATATTCCTGTTTTTGGCTCTCCTTCCATGCCACATGCTAGCTGCTAATGATAACACCTGCTCCTCAGGGGCTCCCCGTGCCTCCCTGCACCTCCCTGTTGCTGGCCTGAGCCTCCTGCTGGTTCCTCTCCAGCCTGATTTTTCCTGAGCCGTCTCCTCTCTGCTATAACCTCCTACTAACCCACTACCTAGAAGACCCCCTGTGTCAGTATTCTGCAAAAGCCCATTCTTACTTGGGTCTCCTAATCCATGGTTCTTCACTTAGTTGGGTTTCATGCGTTTAAAATTTAATTTAGGTAAGAAATCACATCTAGACATTAAGATGAATTTTTTGCTGATGTAGTCAAACAGACCCGTTTTAAAAGTACGTGCTTTATGGCTCCCTTGAAAAGGTTTAATTCCCAAGCATCATACACTGACGTGATACTCTGTTTGACAAATGACAGGGGTTACGATGAAGACCAGATGCGTGGTAACTGTCCCGGATGCGTGAGTGCACTAAATTGCATAATGAAAAGAGAGAGTGAATTACGAGCAGACCGTGCAGATCTGGAGAGATTTGCATTCTGTACAGGGGCGGTCGTTGTTGCAGTAAGGAGCCCCCTGTCTGCCTGCTTTTCTTTGCGATCAGGGGTGGGCTTTCTGCTGGAACAGGGCGGGGCAGCGCGCATGCGCGCATCCAAAGCCTCTGGTCCGAAAGGCTTCGCACTGATTCGGAAAGGGGACGGTTCCGTGCGTTTCCTTAACTCGGTACCAGTGAGAGTAGCTGCCTAACGGATTTTTCCGTATTCCCTATTAGAATTTCCGTGAATTTGAAAGATTTGCAATAAATAAAATCCGCCGTTCTTCTAAAGCTGCAGTAACCCGAGCATCTGTGCCGAAAGAAAGACACCCACCCAGGCTCTCGACCTATAACGGTGAAAATGTCCGGCTATCAGGGCAAGAAGAACATCCCTCGCATAACAGTAAGTGTGCATTAAACTCTTAAATAGCGTTTTCTAAATCGGAATTCATTCATGGCTTAATTAATTAAACAATACCGACAAATTAGAGAGGTAGGTCGGGGACCGCTGCCCCTCGCCGTCTGATGATTTGTATGCAAACCGGTTTCTCCTAACTGGTGATCTTCACCTCAGTAACCCGGTGTAGCCTTTCGGAGCTGCGGACAGGACAGCATTTGAGAATTAAATGTTAGATCAAAATAAAAAATGCAGTGGTTCTTGGCAGTAATAGAGGACAGCGTAAGACCGGGCGCTCTGTGATGCAGACCTGCCCTGTGCCATATGCTCACCGATGTGGACCTGTACCGGTGGGGGTGCCTTCTGAAAGATCAGGACCTGGGCCGGTGGGGGTGTTTTCTGAAACACTAGGACCTGTGCTGTGCGCTCTTCTCACTGGTGTGGACGTGTCTCGTAGGTCTCATTGCAGGTTGCTCTCCTTTTTTGAACATAAAGTGCATGAGTAGACGGACTCGTCCTGAAGGCAGCGCCCCCTGACAGGCGCTCCTGTGCGGCGGCACAACGCTCTCCTTTTGTTAGGGGAGACCGGCTGGGCATCCGCCCATGCATGATTTGCGACCCCTGCCGCGGGTAATGCGGTGTGCCATGTTTCTGTCCGGGGGGGCTAGGCCACAAGGATGTATTGTAGCGAGCTAATGCGGGCAGTCCGCTCCCTTTTCCTGCGAGGCGAGATGGTGGAGAACGGGAACGAAATAATGGAAAGAAACAAATGGAAACGGGTATCGTAGCTCGCAGCTCCTTCCGCCTTTTTATGAGCAAAGGGCAGCTATGGAACAATAAGGGGAATTTGACCCTTCATTAATTTTACTCCGTTTAAACAATTTTGCTGTGCCATCGGAAATCTCGCCGCCCTGTCACAAAGCAGCGGCCCGACCCGGTCCCCACCCATCGGCGGTGAACAGGGACCCGCGTCGCGCTCCACCCTGGACATGATACGGTGCCGGGCATTGTGCAAAAACGCCCTGAGCTGCGAATTGACTGTTTGCTGAGTTCGAATTATACATGAGCATTGTGAGAAAAGCTGTTTTGACGCCCATGTCGATGAAAACCGTCCGGGCAATTTCACCCGGGTGAGTTTTCTTTTAATCGTCTATGCAGGAATTGCATAACGCTTGTCTGGCGGCAGTCCGAATCGCGTCTGCTGGCTGCTTGCAGACGATCCGCTGCTGCTCCTATATTTCAGGGCGTTTTGGTACCGGACAAGTGTCTGTGTGACAGTCACCCGCTTGTACAGCAGGCATGTGAAAAAGGGACTGCAGGACAGGAATGTCGCCATGGAAGCTGCTGTCGATGGGACAAAGGCGGAACATCTGAAGTGGGCTCCGCTGGCGGATGACATGGGCGTGGTGCCTCCCGGTCAGTCCAAGAAGCTCGTGGGCACGTCGCTTTTCACTACTGCTGGGGGACGCCACATGTTCTGCACAGTGTTGCCAGGCTTGCCTTAGCACCGGTCTGTCATGTGCCCTCAGAGGATGAAGGGTCAGAGGCGGAGTGGAAATGGATGATTGTCCAAACCGCGCCCTACATGGAAGCCAGGCCACGCCCTCCCTGGAAGCTGCAGTGGCAGGTTTGACTGCGCAGTGCTGCTTCAGCTGCTTGGCTACACACAGACCCTGTTCACACCCACACAACTCCACCCACTCAGCTGTGATTGCAACGACAGGGAGGTATCTGTCAAGAATCAGGACCGGGCACCATACCGACCCCAGTTCAGAGCTCCGGAATTTCTGTATGTGGCTTAGTCAGCTAATTAATGTTGAATGTTCCTCTAACTCTCCTGCAGAACCATCAGCACACTGCCTGTTAATAGTGCCTCTCTCTGCGCTGTACTTGTTAGCTCACTCTGTTCTCCTCCATAGCTCTCATAGGTGCGTTTTGTGTTTGACAGGATCACAAATGGTCCGTAGGGATCACAGTCTGTCAAGTCTTCTTCGGATTAACTCCTTAGTTATGGAGTGTGTTTGAGCTGTTATGAAGTCCTGATCTACATCTTGACTATGTTACCGGCTACGTCTTCTTGGTAGACCGTGCGAGTACAAAGTGTAATCCGCCGCTTTAGCTTTGCGTGTGGCCTTTGAAAATAAGTTGACTTTGGCTGGCAGGAAGAGTCGAGTGTTTCCTGTTTTTCTGCTTCCTGGATATGAAGCTTGTGAGCTGGTCTCCAGGTGGTTTTCACCATGACGGTCCGTCTGGAAGGAACAGGGGCTGGACCCCGGTCCACAGGAATACCCAAAGGAGGAGAGTGTCCTCACATTAATAATAACATGCAGGCTCAGGTGGAAGCCAGTCAATTCATGACTGTGATGTTGGTGCAGGGCTTGTGTCCTCTCGCTAATTTCTGATACACCATTAGTGATTTGGTTCTGTACCCAACAGGAAGTAGGTCTTATCCTTTTTGGCATGTTTGTGGTTTACAGTCTTCCCTCAGAAGCTGCCTTGTGTGTTTGGGTTGATGTGTTTGTGCCAGGGCTGTGGAATTGTGTGGACTTAAGATGTCAGTTTGTAATTCATATAAAAATTTGTATAAGAAAAACAGTTGTTAGCACTGTTGCCTCACACCTCTGGGACCTGGGTTCCATGTGTGTGGAGTTTGCATGTCCTCCCCACGTAGTCGTGGGGTTTCCAATGGGTACTCTGGTTCCCCCCTCACAGTCCAAAAACATGCTGAAGCTAATTGGAATTATCAAATTTCCCATAGGTGTGCATGTGTGAGTGAATGGTGTGTGAGTGTGAGCTGTGATGGGTTGGCATCCCATCCTGGGTGTGTGAGTGTGCCCTGTGATGGGTTGGTGCCCCATCCTGGGTGTGTGAGTGTGAGCTGTGATGGGTTGGCACCCCATCCTGGGTGTGTGAGTTTGCCCTGTGATGGGTTGGCACCCCATCCTGGGTGTGTGATTGTGAGCTGTGATGGGTTGGTGCCCCATCCCGGGTGTGTGAGTGTGCCCTGTGATGAGTTGGTGCCCCATCCTGGGTGTGTGAGTGTGAGCTGTGATGGGTTGGTGCCCCATCCTGGGTGTGTGAGTGTGCCCTGTGATGGGTTGGTGCCCCATCCTGGGTGTGTGAGTGTGCCCTGTGATGGGTTGGCGCCCCATCCTGGGTTGTTCCCTGTCTTGTGCCCATAGTGCCCTATGATGGGTTGGCGCCCCATCCTGGGTTGTTCCCTGTAGCCTCCGGGATCGGCTCCGCATCCCCGCGACCCTTAATAGGATAAGCAGGCACAGAAAAAGAATGGGGTTCCTATGTAGCGGCCAGTTAGTTCATGCTCTCTTTCTGAATTTGCCATTTTGCCCATGGGTGGAGGAAGGGGGCTGACAGCAGGGGGACCAAGGGACCAATGTTACCCCCTCTGTAAAATTTGCCAACCCCAGGAGGGCAGTATTTTCTGTAAATTGTTGCAAATTTCACATGATCTTCTGCTATCAAAAGGGCACTTGGTAAAATATGCAGTGCCCCCCCCCCCACTGATGCCTCTCTACCCACAACCTCTTTTTGCCCCTGAAATGCAGGTGTTTTAAGCGTTTTAGCTGGCCTGTGGGGGCGTGGTCATGTCACTCATGAATATTCAGTGTTTGGCTGTAATTAGCAGCCATAGCCACACCCAGATATCTCAGAGCTCCACCCCCCTTATGAAAGGAGCCTAGAGCTGAACAGAAACTTGCATTTAGACTGCTACTGTGAAGTGCCCCCCGCCCCCCCCAGGGCCTTCTCAGCCCTCTGTAGGCCTGGCAGTGTGCCAAGCCTAAAACTTGCACCCCAAGGTTGCTAGAGGATGTTTAGTGTTCTGTGGAAGAAAACAAGATGGAGGTATAATCTGAAGCCAGCTCCCAGGACATGGGTATTTTAGCCTGCTGCTCGAGGTGCAGTGTGACGCCCCCCGATTCCTAATAACAATAACAATGTCTATCATAGTCACCCTGTGACATGCAGCTTCATTAAACTTAAATATGTCTCCTTGCTGGACTGTTTGGCTGCTCCGAGCCTCCTATGGGTTCATATCCTCGTGAAGCAGGAGACTAGATCTTCTCCAGGATGAGAAGGTGTCCGCAGACTGGGTCTTCTCCAGCCAGCTTCCCTACATGACTGATATGTGGTTAAAAAAAAGAAAAAATGAATTTGCCATCGTCATGTTGCAGGTGCACGTCCAAGAAGGCACATTGCATAATACGCAGTGGCACTTTTAATCAAATGCTTGCTATATATAGAAAATTATATATAATGTCAAGAAAGGTGAGTTATATTTACAAGTGGCTGTAATTCACAGATCAATTGGAACACTAGATGTTAGCCTGGATCAATGCGTCTCTATGGTGATGGTCACCATGGAGAATGTGTCCTCGAACTGAAGCTTGAGTAGGTCAGTCACTGTGTTTACAGCAATATAAGGAGGCAAAAGAATTTCTACCAGAACAACCTCGATGTCATGACCTCTGTAATGAGGCATCCTGTCATGTCCATGACCTCCTTTCTAAGGAGTGATCCTGTCATGTCCTTGGCTTCCTTGATAATGCGGGATCCTATCATATCCATGATCTCCTCTGTGGGGAGGGATGCTGTCATGTCCATGATCTCCTCTGTGGTGAGGGATGCTGTCATGTCCATGATCTCCTCTGTTGTAAGGTATCTTGTCATTTCCTTGGTAATGAGGGATCCTGCCATGACCATGATCTCCTCTGTAATGAGGGATCATGCCATGTCCATGATCTCCTCTGTAATGAGGGATCATGCCATGTCCATGACCTCTTCTTAATGCTTTGCCCATATGGTTCTGTTAATCTTTCTTGATCAGATTTCATGAACCGAACCTAGTTACCAGCATGAACCGAACCTGTATACTAAGGGCTTTGACTTCAGACCATGTCAGTGCCATTTTTCTGGTTATGTTTGACTTCTTGCTTCACTTCACTTGATCACACTGTCGCGTGAATGTTGTGTTAAGCCCCCGACCCGTGTGAGCTCATCCTCCCTACTCTTCAGCAATGGACATAATGACTGTGTTCATGTCTGGAATAATGCTGTGTGTGTCAATACTGTACAGCTGAACAAAGCTGCAGTGTTTGACAAAGAAGCTCTTAAGGTTGTTCAGCTCGGGGGGGGGGGGTGCTATGTGGGCAGACGGCTGTTGCAGCCCCACCCCTCTGCGGGGACAGTCTATGCCAAGGAATCCCAGAGCTGGGTTACCGTGACACCCTGCTGTTGCTTTACTGGCCTCCCACTGGGGGGTGAGCCTCCATTCACTGTCCTGGCTATCTGGGGGTGGGATTACAGGCTGCAAACTGCTGATCAGCCTGTGCTAAAATCACTGGGGGGGGGCAGGCATGTGTCAGGGTTAGGGGAGCATCTCACACAGAGCTTAGCATGTAGCACATAGCATATAATGTGTAGCAGACACAGGACATCGGCCCCCTGGGTCACATGACAGCAATTGTTGGCCTGTTGCCTTCATCTGAGCCCTCCTCCCCTAACCTCCCCCCCCCCCAGAGTGACCGTCTGCTAATCAAGGGAGGGAAGATCGTGAATGATGACCAGTCCTTCTACGCTGACATCTACATGGAGGACAGCCTCATCAAGTGAGCTGCTGAGACATTTTCATACATTAAATCATAAACGTAATAGTTCACTAATGATCAACTCAGTGTTAATGGTTTGCTTAAAGACATGTATGTTTTTAAATATATATATATATATGGGATTAGAACTGACAACCTTTGAAGTCAAGCATAGATGCCACATCACCCAGTGACAGGGGGCAGGACAGGAGGCTTAAAGGAGCAGGATGATCAGAATACTTAACCTGAGTGTTGGTGACGACTCTCTGCACGTCCCCCCTGCCGGTTTCCAGGCAGATCGGAGAGAACCTCATCGTTCCTGGGGGTGTGAAGATCATCGACGCCCACGGGCGGATGGTCATACCCGGCGGTATCGACGTCCACACACGCTTCCAGATGCCTGACCGGGGCATGACGGCCGTCGATGACTTCTACCAGGGGACACGCGCCGCCCTGGCCGGCGGTACCACCATGATCAGTATGTGCACCCCCCCTTCCCCACTGCCCATATTTAAATGGGAAATCTGAAGCTTAAATGAAGAAGGAGGCCCAGGAGGAGAGACATAAGGGGAGGAGAGCAGGAGCATGATGTCTCCCTTAGTAACTGCTTATGGCACTGTCATCGTGTGCGTGTGTGTGTGTGTCTGTGTGTGTGTGTGTGTGTGTGCGTGTGTGTGAGCATGCATGCGTGTGTGTGTGTGTGCGTGTGTGTGTGTGCATGCATGCGTGTGTGTGTGTGTGTGTGTGTGCGTGTGTGTGTGTGCGCATGCATGTGTGTGTCCGTGCATGTGTGTGTGAGAGTGTGTGCGTGCGTTTGTGTGTGTGTGTGGGTTATGTACCAAATGTCCCCACAATGTGATAAAAACCTGTAAATTTGACTTGTTTTTACGTCGTGTTTTTTCAGTCCCCACAAGAGGAAATTCAACTTAATAAAAATCTGTGACTACTATCAAAATGCTAAAAATGTCAAAAGTCTTGTATTTTTTTGGTTACTTATGGTTAAGGTTAGGGCTGGGTAGGGGTTAAGGGTGTGATTGTTGAGATTAGGGTTTTTCCTGTGGAAATGCATGGACGGTTCCCACAAAGAAATGAATACAAACATGCGTGTGTTTGTCTGCTTGCAGTTGACCACGTGGTCCCAGAGCCAGGAGGCAGCCTGATTTCGGCCTTTGAGCAGTGGAGGGACTGGGCGGACAGCAAGGCCTGCTGTGACTATTCCCTGCATGTTGATGTGACCAGCTGGCACAAGGGGCTGCAAGAGGAGATGGAGACTCTGGTGAAGGACCATGGTACATAAACCACCCAGCTTCGCTATCAGATACAATATTTAAAACACAGTAGCTTATTACAATTAGTGATGCTACTAACTACAGCTGTTTTTAAAACGTTGTAGCTTTTCCAGTAACCAACTATTTTTTTTACAAATAGAGATGTAGCATGGCAAAATGCTACATTGTTAAAAAATACTACAGGTCATCGTCAACTTACATCCTGTGCAAATTATAACTGATCGCCTTCATGGCTGTTCCGAGACACAGATATGTGGCTGCAGCTGTGCCACGTCTGGCAGTGTGAGTGCTGCCCAGTGTGACCGTATGACAGTTTCCACCCGACTACCGGCAGTGTGAGTGCTGCCCAGTGTGACCGTATGACAGTTTCCGCCCGACTACCGGCAGTATAAGTGCTGCCCAGTGTGACCGCATGACAGTTTCTACCCCGACTACCAGCAGTGTGAGTGCTGCTCAGTGTGACCCTATGACAGTTTCCGTCCTGACTACCGGCAGTGTGAGTGCTGTCCAGTGTGACCGTATGACAGTTTCTGCCCCGACTACTGGTAGTGTGAGTGCTGCCCAGTGTGACCGTATGACAGTTTCCGCCCTGACTACCGGCAGTGTGAGTGCTGCCCAGTGTGACCGCATGACAGTTTCTGCCCCGACTACCA